ATAGAACTCCGTCAAATCTCCTCCGATTAAGACGTTCTTGATATCGTCGGAATCGTACGAATTAGCACTATTTTTAGATACCAATTCCGTACCGAGTCGTCGCATGAATAAAAAGGGTTTTCTAATCATGGAAACGGGTATCCGAGCCGGTGCTGCATGTGGGCGATTATCCCGCCTACAGCATCTCCCAAACCCACCCCGATTCAATCTTCTGCTCCCTCGTTGTCACGGCCCACTGTTCCCCAAACCATTGTCATCCCCGGGGTTGGCCCGGTGGATCCTGCATCGGCCAAGTCTGCACCGTTGAAAAAAACCACCTCTTCCAAGAGATGGGCTCCCACATCCGACAATGATGAGATGGAAGGCGAATGGGTCATCGACCCTGATGCCCCCTTCGAAGAATTCATCACGAACTGTCCACCCGGCTACCACTACTATGAGTACTACGACGCCAAACTCACTGAAGTGCATGGCGAACCCCTACCCCCACCAACATATTGTCGATCGGTGGCCCTTCCTACCCGCTTCTACGACATTGACCATGTCAATAGAATCGAATTCCCAGATGCGGCTGCGCTCATCCACGACAAAGAACCTAAGTGGTTTGAGTTGGTTCGAAACTACATACACACCGAAGAAGGTGTGAGGTTCTATGCTACAATGTACCATCTTGCCTGGTCGTTCAAGACAGGCAAGCCCTCGCAAGAGGACGTCGACACCTGTACCGACTGGTACAGGGTGGCTACAAACAACCGCACCTCACGTATGCATATGTCACGCGACGACATTGAGACGGAGGCGAAAAGACTTCCCGACCAGTACCCCCCAGCTCGTATTGCACAGATGTACATCCTCACATGTCGATGGATAAAACCAATGACTGACGATGCTCCTGAGCATCGTAAAATTCAACGTCAGGAACGAGCACTTATGTACTCGAACCCTCCCCCAACGTCGTACTCAAACACACCTATGATGTACGCAAGCCCACACCCTGTGGTGTATTCAAACGCCCCACCTCTGCTGCAATACCCCCCTCCGACGTATGCACACCCGTTGGTGTATGAATCCACTGTCAGGGCACACCCCACCCCACCCCGCGCCGCGCCACCCTACTCCGCTCCCCCACTATCACACCCTGTTTCTTCTTTCCCCTTTCCTTCTTTCTTTCTATTTCCGTTCCATGGTCAACTTCCCCTTCTCTATGTATCACTACACACCTAACCCCACTTCCCCAATCACCGCGCCTGCCGCACGCATTCCCACTCACAGAGCAGCACACCTCCGGGATCTCCCGCAGAGATACCCAGGGGAGTGCGGCTGTGTGCGGAGATGACGTGGCTCCTCCCACGTGACCCCAACCGCATGTATATAATAGTGCCTGGGGTGGGAACAGAAGAAGCAGCCTTCTTCTCAACTTCCCACTTCAGACTAAGTGGTCGGGGATGCTCACCCTGCGATGGGACCGCCACTACACATAGCTGATGTCTGTCCCCTCGAGTCCCTCGCACTGGGACCTCACCGCTTTTGGAGCTGTCCCTGACATCTGCCCACACACCACCAGTGCATGGGCGTGCTCCCTCCTCTTCTCATGGACACGGCCATCCCGCGCACCATGCCCATTACTTGCACCGTCGTCAAGATGAGGATTCGTCCATGAACAACGCTGACGTCGAGACTCGTCACTACGACAACAACTATCTCAGCGATGATGTCGCTGTCGACGCAGCTAGGTCCACGACGACTCATAGGACTACTTTGAATCGCCCATCCGGCTCTGGCCCATCCGGGTCTGCACCACGTAAACGGATGAGGAACTGACCCCCTCATATCCATACCTTCGTCAACAACAATGCCATCATTGATTACTCACTTTCGTCAACGACAAGGCCATCATTGATTAATAACTTCTTACCTTCATCAACGACAATGCTGTCGTTGATTGTCTATTCTGTACCCTTCCTCTTTCGTCAACGACAACGTCGTTGATTATTCATTTTCTTCGTCGATGACAACTCTGCTGTCAATGACCTGCACTGTCAACATTGTCACGGTGGACGATGGTATTTAATAAACTCACAACAACGAGAAAGTCGTTTCATCGTTGACAACTCTGTCGTCGAGATCTGGGTGCATATGTTCCAGGAGAAACTCTAAGTGGGCTTCGCCTACAAACTACTATTATAGCCTCCTGCAATGAGTGTGCCCCCATTTGCATACATCTTTCGTATGTAGAACGTTAAAATTTTATTTCTTTAAAATGCTTGCTTTCCCCTTGTGTATATATGCTTGTACCCTGTCTGCGATTTAATATTGCAAGGGAGGAGGATGTGAGGCCCTGGCCCATGTCTATATTCCACCCACAACATCAGTTGATGTTGTGTTGTCTAATAATTATGTTGCGACGCTAATTTAGCGTTGTGGAAGCTTCTCTATTTATTTGTGCTGAGAATGCATTAGATTGTATATAAACCCTTGGGGTAGCTGTAAAAGGCGGATCAGCCTTTACTTCTACCCCGTTAATATACAGCAAATCAAAGTGTATACTTAGACAGACAACTGAGGCCTGAGGCAAACGGGGGAACGGAACGTTACTGTCCCCAAAATAGTAAGATACCTTTCAATAGGTTACACCCCAGTGATAAAATCGACTAGAGTTGATCCCCCTTTTAGCTTCTCGTTGCCAGTAAGTAACTTAGGGCACGGACATGTAACTTGGCACAGCGCTCCTGGTCTGAGTTGCTGAGGCCGAAGCCCTCCACCACAGAGACAACTCACTCCGGTCTCTAACAGCTTTGTCACATGTCACAACGAGATTTTGAACAGATGAATGTATTGACAATTAATTCCCACAGTATCCAGGAGTTGCCGGAAACAGCAAATTAATTCAGTTTTTATTCAGTTCAATATTTTCACGTGATTCTGAGGGATGAACTACGCAAGAAGGAGCCGGCAATCCCCAAATCCCGTGGGAATGAACCTACAGTCGTAATGGGACAGTATACCAAAGGGCTTGAAAGCGCTACTACACGGTGATTCTTCCATCGCTGCCGGTACCATAATAGTTCATAAGACGCTCTGTCCTAGGTGAATCAAACACGATCGGGCTGAATAACAACATCTCTACGATAGCAACAAGCTGAAGGATAGAAAGAGAACTTGGTCAACATTGTTGTTATTGTTGTACTCTATTTTGTTACCGCGCATTTGTATATGAAGAGAGGCTGGTCGCCTACTGCACATGAGGGGCTCGTCAATACATGGTAGGGTGGCCTGGTTGGTCTGGTCGGGGTGACGGGTCCTCTGGATTGTGATGTCTGGTATCAAGTCATGTCCGGCTCTCTCTACGGGGGCTTACTGGTTGGGTATACCTGTCTCCTGTTCCCCCGCTTTGCTCTGTTCTCTGTCCGCCCTTTTTGTCGATGGCCCACGACTTCTTAATGAAGTCTGCTAGTCTGAGAGTGGTCGAAAATCTGCTCTGACGACCACGGACTAATACGCGTCTATGTTCCTTAAACTGTGGGTATACCTGGAGTATGTGCTCTCTCGTCTGGTTAGCTGTACACTCTCTGCTCTCTGTGTGGATACCAAACCGGTGGTAGTATTCGCCCAGGTGTGCGTGGCCAGTGCTGAACTGGATCAGCCTGCTGAAGGTTTTTCAGTCCCGCAATTTAAACCTGGTGTCGATGGTTTGCATGTAATCCTCCTGATCAGATCAGGATGGGCATGCTTTCCCAGTCAACATTGTTGCGTGTTCTTCGTACACCTGTGTGGCAGTGCGACCCACAGGGCAGTGCCACCTGGAAGAGACATCCACCTTGTTGTTGTCCAGGGGCTGCCTGTGTCGATTCTGGTTTTGGAGCTCTAAGAGAATATAGAGGCTGTAGTCCTGCCTTCATCCTGCTCTCTTCTCCGATCCTGTCCGCTGGTGTTCTGACCAATCTAAGGGTACCCTTCAGTTTGCCCATGGGGATGCTGACCCCAGTAGCCTGGGACCCCCGATATCTAAACCCTTAGACCGTGGGCATGCCCCTGATGTATGTTGAGTTTCAGTGCTGCAATGGCCCTTGTCTTTATGTGGACATTGAAATGGCGGTAACATTGTCCATCGGTTTCCAACATTTCATGCTTTCTTAGGCCCTCTACGATTTGCATCGTGGCTTGGTCGGTCCTTAGATGAGCGCCGTCGAGCTTTTGCAACATCTGCTCGTTCATTGCCTCTAGGAATCGAGGCCCTTGACCACCAACTCAGCTTGCAAGGAGTCCACACTATGATTGGCGCAACAGTGGTAGGGCATTCTGAATCAAGCAGCTTCTCCATAGGGTGAGAAAAGGATTGTAGCGCCCGCATAGAGCTATAAGTGGGGGTCAGCAACCAACGTTGTAACGTTGTGACACTTACATAAGCAAAACTGGCCCCGATCATGGCCAGACGGTCCTCCTCTTCCAAACCCCTCATCTCTAGGTTGGAAACCATGTTAAAACTTTGGAAGTAAGGAGATTGTAAGGATAGATGATTAAACCCATGCAAATATGAGTAGATTAATGGGGATTCTAGTGATTGAACTATGGATGTGCCAAACATGATCGCGTCGCATCACTCTCCATCCTTCCAGGTGCTGGGGCTGTTGCAGTGTTGGAAGCCAAGACATAATGATGTTCTGGTATGCATTTTACGTTGCAATATCGTTTTAGGTCCCCTTTCTGCATCTTGTCCCACTCCGAGTTTTGTCACCCCACTACGCTGTGCCGTTCCATGTGCAGCAGTTTCCCCACCCTATTTGCTTATCCCATTTGTCCAATATCTGTTCTTGTTCATTAGCCACTTAAAACCGTGCAGGCCATTGCAACATCGAGCTATCATCGTCATTCTTTCCCCCTGTCCCCCATATTGAGTCAACTACTGAGTGCTACACAGGATAATACTTGCTGGCTATCCGTGTGAGTACCTCTTTCTGTTCTTCATTATTCATACTGCTAAAGACCCCAACCCTTGGGATGTCCTTGTCATTGGGATGAAGGTATCGGTGCGCGTCAAGTTGTTGCTTGGCTGCTTTCTTGGTTTTGAGGGCCTTTATTCCTTCTAAATCATAGATCACGTCCTCTGACAACTTCTTGAGTGCTTCCTGCTTTGCCTGTGTCCTTTCTTTTGCAGCCTCGGCCTTCCGCTGACTATCTGCCACCTTCTTTGCATTTGCTGCTCAGATTTCTCGCTTCTGCTCATGCTCGTGGCCTGACATATCCCACAGCCTCACAAGTGACATCAGCACTCTCTGGTCTTCGCTGGACAGACTACCAACTATGAAATCATCTACTCCATTCCGCTTTGCCATCTGGATGGCATTCAACTTCATCTGCGTCATGCATGTACTCAGCCGCTTCATGCACCGAAGTTGGCCAAGTGCACCCTCATTTGCGTCATTTGTGCTTGGAATGAAGATCCTTTTGATCTCTTCTGGTGTCAGTGAGTCGATTTGTCCCCCAATAGCAAACTCTGCTGAGAACCGGGTGTATGTTTTGGAGGCACCATCCAGAAATGCAATAAGAGCGTCCGGTATGTGGGGGAGGTGAAGGGAAAGTACATGTGCTGCTTCAATTGCCTCGGTATTTTTGATTTTGGCACCATTTAGGCTTGCCTCAACAAATGAGCTGCCGTGAGTGAGCCAAAGGGAAGGATTGCTTCGGATCTTGGATAGGTAAGTCAGAACTGCATCATGTAATGGCCCGAGTGAAATCCCATTGACCCTATCAATGCCGTAGGCACAGAGCTCTTGCACCAAGGGTTGGGAGACAAATTCACTATACAAAGTGTGAACACAGAGTTCAGTAAGTGTCGGAATATCCTCAAGACCGTCAGAAACGTTCTTCTCAATGTTTGTTAATCCAGGTTTATCCTTTGAATAACAAACATTGGTCATTGGCTTGTTGTAGAACTTCATTGGGGCTACATATCCATTTTTAGCCCACATTTTGTGCATGCGCTCATGTCCCCCCTTGACAGTATTCAAATCTTTGTGCATCCCACATCCAATCCAGATCAGTTGAGACATCATACGTCGCTCTTCCTCAGGTAAGAACCCATACCGCACTTTCCCCAAATGCTCCAATGTGTTAAGCCGCATTCTGTTCAGGATCTCAGCCTGCTCCACCTCTGATAATGAACTCCAACTGCATCCACCACCCTCTACCTGTGACATGCTGTGCTCTAGCTCCTTTCAGGTGATCGCGGTAGCAATACACTTTGCCTGAGCATTCATCCAATCCCAATATTCCCGGCCAAGCTCTCTGTACCAGGCCGAGAGTTTGAGATTACAAAGAAGGTCAACAAACCGCTTCTGATCACTTGCATGGTCAGTGACTGTCCCATTTATTGCACGGAAGATATCATCAGGTTTGACTTCTTCTGCCAACCTCAGACTTGGAAGGCTCATATGGGAAGAACAGAATTGTTCTAGTTTCCTTTGAAGATTGGATAACTGTTGGGCACTGGTATGTGATGGTAATGACTCGATTCCAAGGAAGAAAGTCTGGTGAATTGGTGGATTTTGTGTTGGTGTGGAATTGTGTGGCGGATCAGCAATGTCCATTGTGAAATGAGATCCATGGTAGTCAATGTGCTTGTGCTGCGTTGAATCACCACTATAAGCAATGCCTAGTTGAAAAGAATATTAAAATCTTGCCACACTAGTCAGTGGCAAGTGAAAGTTGCTCAATTTACCCTTTGCCTTCTGTGCAACTTCCACTATCTGAGCTCCTGCCGCTATCCCTGCTTCTATCATGATCCGACTGCATGTCCGTGCACTTGGAACACTATTCAGAGTGATTCCAAAGAACACAGAACATTCTTTGATGACCTTTCCAATAGTCACATTGGGGATATTAAGGCAACAGAGATGGCGGACCAGAGATCGGGCCTTAAATGAATAGATGCTGCCGTACTTCAGGGCAAGCTTCCTATGACATTTGATTGGGTTGAGGCTGTTCTTGAGCCTCGATTGGAGCCTGCCATTTTGTTGTTGGAGAGCATATGATTTCCTCCGCTGCCACATTGAAGATTTCCTCAACTTGGTAAGTTTTGATTCCAAAATTATTGACATTTCCCTTTCTAAATTCAGGCACAGATCCAATCTCTTCATATCCCTCATCATTGTTGCTTTAATTGCTTTGATTTCAGCTTGAAGTGCTTGGACTTTTGCTTTTGCCCATTGAGCAACCTTTTTCAGGTTTCTTTTGTCCTTCTGCAAGCAAGGAATTGTCCCCCCCAAAGTATTGGAATGGGAAATAGACTCTATTTGTGTAGGCACTGGGACAGGGACATTCGAATTGGTATGCCAAGATGGTGATAGCAGCTCAGCAGTCAGAGTGATGGATCCAAGAATTTCGCATGTTTGAACTGAGACTCTAGTCTGCACATTTTTGCTCAATCTATGAGCACTTTCGTCTGTTGATTCCCCTGACTGGTTCCCAGCCAGTCTAGCTCCATGAGCCTGCATGCTAACACGCGGCAACATCAATGGTGGCTGGACAGCAGAAGTCCCAGTCATTGGTCCAAAGGTTCTGCGGCTCCGAGTGGATAGTCCTGGGCATACATTCTTGTTTACTATGTGACCTCCCCCCTCTGTCTGTCATTTATCCAAACCAGTCCTCCAAGCTTTATTAATCTGTTGGGTTTGGGGAGAAGAAATTGTTTTTTTGGAATACTTCCAAGCAGCTCTATCCCTTGGCATTTAGTAAGGGGGTATGGGGGGGGTTGAGTTTCAAGTCCAAAGTCAGTCTAGCCAGAAAGAGAAGATGCCAGAGTCAAGTTGGGAAGCGCGCATCGGTAAACCCTGACACGTGATCCCTATTTGCACCTGTCCGGACATTCTGGGAAAGGTGAGTTCCAAATGTACCTTCAATCCCTTCCTTTTCCCTCAAATTTGGCATAGTGGTAGATGTGTTATTTACCTAACTTTTGGCCACTCAGATTTTTCAAATTCTACTTGGTTCAAAAGTTATTCCTCGTCCATGAGGCTGTATTTTGTTGCATCCCCACATAAATTAGTGATTACTGCAAGTGGAGGCCCAAAACTTCCAAGAAGTATTATAATAACATTGGACTATTTTTCGGTTTAGTCTATATGAGTACCGACATATGTTGCACTGGGTTAGGGCCTGCATCCATCTCAGCTTCAGAGCAGTGGAATGTACCTTTCCACTTCTTCAATTGACTTCAAACTTGGCACAATTACTCTATGGGTGTGAACGCAAATTTTGGCCACTAGGATTTCTGAGAATCTCCCAGATGCATGAGAAAGGCTCGTACATTTCCGATGTCCCATAGTTATGTATAAACCTGTTTTAAAATGGGTTCCCATACCATATATGCATTTTAATGTTATTATCATGCAATAATTATACCAACACTTAATAGAAGTTGTGAAGTCAAATGAAATGGTTTTCGGGTGAAGCGCAGTGGCCATATTTTAGCATCACGTGAGATTTATGTTTTCTCGGACGTCTTCCCTCATTTGCCGACCCCCACTATAAGACTGCTCCTCTGAGGATATTTTAAGACCGGGGCTCTCGATTGAGTGAGGACTTCTCAGGATTCGTGAACTGTCGTAGCCACAGAACAAGAACAGATAAGCATTTGGAGCATTCATTAACGTGAATGCCGGTCCCAAGAAAGACGTACATCGGAATCAACACAATGGATCAAATATACAATACCTAGTTGAAGGCTAGGTTGGAGTTACAGGAGTTGGGTTAATACAAGAGTTAATACAAGAGATCATAATGCCCAAAGAGTGGGAAATCTCATAGCCAAACCAGAGAAAGGACTGCTACAGCGAACGCTCCGAAAAAGACTATCAAATTTGGGTGGTTAGACATAGGACTAGAATTTCGAATAAGGAGGTTTCCAGTGAAGTTGAATCTGACTGATATGTTCCCGTTAATGGGCGATTGGGGTGATATCACGGCACCTAATCCTGTCCCATCTTCGTGAAGTGTAAAGGCCAAGGAGTTACCCCCATCCATACCAATGGGCGCTCTAGAAAGATAGTTTATCGCGACGCCGTTAGAACAGAAGCTCCCCTGCTAGATTACATATCAACTCACTGAGAAAAGTTGGCACCATCTGAGTCATAAATGGCGATACTCCCGGCGATGCCGGCGAGTTTATCAGATGCCGTGTCCGTCGTGTAACTGAACCCAACGGAAAAGAGGATGAATCAACATTGCAGCCAGAATCAAAAATTTCTCTACCCAACTTACTTCCCGGCTTGGAGATCACCGAGCGGAAGTACAACATGCCCAGATGAATTATCCGAGCTTATGCCGAAAGGCGGAAGTAACGTTCCTAACGACAACATAGTATCCCATATTGCTTAGCTGAAATGACAAAACCGATTGATCATGCAACTCACCACTCGAGCCAGATCCACGAATCGAATCCCGCCTGGAAAGATGACTACAATTAGCTAGGACAAGGAACTGAGCGCCGTCTGAAATATGATATTGGGAAATGAAAAGATTGAGATAGGCCCCTAGGAATGTATTCTGGAAAGCAGGTATGCATGCGATTTGTGGGCTGTTAGCTCCTTCCAGGGTGGACACGAATGGGTACTGTCATAAGCAAATAAGACACCTGAGGCTGTGCTGGATGTGACACATCTCCCCTCGCACCTCGGTACACGAGAGACCCGTAGTCGTAGAATTGCACTTGCTAGTAACGCATCCAGCTTGGGCGCGAATTGTTTTCTTTTGATTCTCGGTTCGCTTAGCATATGTTAAAACTTCCGAATTCCCTTTGTTGCGCTGTCTTAAACCTTTAATGGCCGCTTTCAGAATGGAATCATTGTGGCAGGAGGAAGAGATCATTCACCGCTGCAGATATTTTTAGTGACCTTTGGGGAAGAAAAGTGGCTACGTCAGGGCTAAACACAAAGACAATGATGCAGAACTGACAGCATCGTTTATTCCTGGAAGATCCGCGAAGTAAATTGTCGGCAGTGCCGGGGTCGTCGAAGTAGATGTTGTGGACCCAGTGGTGGGCGTAGGCGTATGGGTAGAAGTAGGCGTTCGAGTAAGGGTAGGGGTAGGTGTCGGTGTCGGTGTCGGTGTCGGTGTTGGTGTCGGTGTTGGCGTTGGTGTTGGCGTTGGTGTCGGTGTCGGTGTTGGTGTCGGTGTGGGCGTGGGCGTGGGCGTGGGCGTGGACGTGGGAGGAGGAGGTGGTGGTGGAGGTGGAGGTGTGGGAGTGGGAGTGGGAGAGTTTATAGAACAACTGCCGTCTGATCCGCATATATACCCTGAATTGCAGCCTATAATCGACACAGTCATCGTGGGCGACTGGGAACACTATAAGTATTGGGTTATTACATACAACTGACACCGGGTTGGCAACATGTTTTCCCCTGTTGGCAGTAATGACCAGTACCACAGGGGGTCCCACCGTTCGGAATGCAACTGGAGTACGGGTTTACCATGAGATAATGAACCAGGATTCATATAATCGACAGACCCATTGTCAAAACACTATTCCGAGCAGCATAAGAGGAATGATACGAAAACGAAGGTTCGCTTTCATAGGGAGCACTCACATAGTACCCTGGATTGCAATATCCAGTCCCGCAAGGTATTCCTGTGGGTGTGGGCGTGGGAGTGGGAGTGGTAGACGTAGGCGTGTTTATGGAACAACTGTAATCCGATCCACATATATACCCTGGATTGCAGCCTATAATCGACACAGTCATGATCAGGAACACTATAGGTTTTGTGTTATTACATACAACTGATATCGGGCTGGCAACATGTTTTCCCCTGTTCGCAGTAATGACCGATACCACAGGGGGTCCCACCGTTCGGAATGCAACTTGGCACGGGTTTATCATGAGATAGCGAACATACCAGGCCTCGATGAACCTTTCAACTTTACAACTTACGTTGCCGAGTGACACTGGGGTGAAGAATCGAACCCCGTTAAGCATATTACACAGTCTGAGTGAATTGAGAAACTGACGTAATAGCCCTGCTGGCAGCACCCACTGCCATCCGTGCACTGAGGGAGTGGATAAGAACACTCCTAAAGTTGTTTCAAAGAGTTAACCATACGCATTCACCCCCAGTCGTACAACAAAAACTGGGGGCACAGAAGACTTAGGGACAAAAGGGGCTAAGTGCCAACTGCTTCGAGAAACGAGTTAGGGAGGGCTTACAAGTGCCTGGGTCACATGAGCCCGCCGCTGCTACAAGTGCTTGGAAGTTGGTTCTGTTGGGGAACGAAAGTGGCGCAGCCTGAGCGAGGAGTGCAGGGGGAGAGCGAGGCACTGGGTTTGTGTCCCGACGGTTGGAAATAGCTAAAGCTGGAGCGCAAGGGCTGGCGACACTTGTTGTTGCGATGAACAAGGCGACGACGAAGGCCCTAGGAGCAATTCGCCAAAAGCTTGCCAACATCTGTTCCATCAGGCGAACTGCGACAGCAAAAGAGGGGCTTCTCACTACCAACCTGAAAACCACCCCCCCGACTCGCCTAAATAAGCCGCGTGCTATTTGTGCCTGAGGTGCGGGGGCATCCGACTCTTCCATGGGGTAGTCCTGGGGAGACAAGGCCCAACCCCTTATTGGAATAGTACTGCTGCTCAATGATCAGCGCACCCGCGAAGCCGAATTTGCAAACCCCAACAGATAAGCCAGTTTTGGTTAAATACCATGACTTGATTGAAATTTCTTATGATTATTCGGCAACCCTCAGCACCTATTTTTGTGCCTAGTGTTCTGGGCATTTACCCATCTCTTCTTTTCAGAGTCTTCTATTTATGTATAAGTTGACCGTCAAGTTGTGCCTTTATCCTTCATCCATGTACCACGTAAAACACTGGCTTGTCAGCGTCGTACCACATGTACTCCGGCCAACACCGAATCCGTACTGTTTGCTCTCAATTTAGAAGTCTTGGCGGATCGTTTAGTCATATTTAGTCATAAATGGTCTGATTGCGAACACCCGCTTTGTCCTCATTGCGGCATGCATCGCGGGTACTCAACACTAAGTGCCTCCATCCTCCTCATGTGCCATGGGCGACATCCACTCTTAGCAAGTCACAAAGGTGGCGAAACAGCCGGGCGAGGAAAGGATCCTGTCACCAACATACAACTGCAGGACTATATTTTAGGTCCGGGTCCGGGGCTCAAGAACTTCTCATGAACTGTCATAGCTACAGGAACAATTCACTAACGTGAATGTCGTTTCCGAGAAAGAGGTACATTAGAATCAATACAACGGATAAAATGCC